GCGCGAGTTAGTTTCCAATGAAAATAGAGAAAGGGAAGGAAAAAAGGAAATTGAAAAGGTGTGCAATCGATCTTGCATTAGGATTCGATGTTTCTTTCTCTCGGAAAGTGTCTTTTGCTCGTTCAATAAATTCGACGAGTTCCACGAGTTTGCAGACCCTCGTAATTCCATCCTCCTGACGGTAAAGCATTTGCTTCTTGGTTCGACGGTGTCGATTAGAGATCAAGATCTACCGTTCTCTTTATGGCACCGACCACTAGGTGGTTTATTAAGGAGGAATGTCTCGGCTTCTTTCTTTAGTCGGCACCAAGAAAGTTGAGGAACGAAATAGCAAACAACTTCAGCTTGTATTTAACATTGTCATCATTCTTACTTGATCGGTATTAACGTTAAATGTACAAAGAAAAATTTCATTAAAATTCTACATTAATATTATTGTTTGATTAATTTCAACAAGTAATTAATTTCCTACGAAAAACGGTAGGAAAACTTTGAAATATGAAACGTCGACTATGAATTATTCCTGAATTATTCGTTCAGGAATCTAACTCTCTCTCTCCCTCTCTCTCTCTTTCTCTCTTCTTCTTCTTCTTCTTTCCTTCCATTCCGTCTATGATTATTCTTAAGCTCGCGAATAAATTCCACGAAAATGGGAATGCGAGCAGCTCGCTGCTACGTGCCAAGTTATTTATAACTTCCCTATAATCTCATCCTACTAACTAAAGCGACTCGAGAATCAAATCAGATTTGGATGAATAAACAATCAATCAAATTCCAATAAAAAAGACTTCATTAAAGACAAACTTGTATTGTAATAAATGAAAAATTGGATAATAAAATAGTATTGAAATAAACAAGATATCCCAATAAAATAGAAATAAGAGAGAAAAAACATAAGGTGGTGGTAGGTACTTCTCGAGAAGGTGCCAAGGTAAATGCATCTGCCTTGTCTTCTGTGGTTTAACTACGTCCGTAGGTTCTTCCTCCAGTAACGCAGGTGCACCTACGGTGCTTCTACGGTGCTTCTACGGTGCTTCTACGGTGCTCTGCTACCACCGGTCTTGATGTCAGCGACCTTTACAGTCATTTTCCAGCGATTTTGTAGCAACAATGTACTCAAACCCTAAGCCTACAACTACACCAAGTTCCTTTGGAGTTGCCTTCTTTGTAGGCAAGAACTATCGAGAAATAAAATCCTATGTTAAACGTACGACTTGATCAATCTTTCATCGAAGATGGTGGATCAGTTAAAATATTTTCTACTGCTTGTGTTTCGAGCTCGTTTTACGCGACGTTTACGAGAAAAGGCGAGAAGACGTTTGAACGATCTCAAATGTTTACGACTTTGAATCGTCTGGCGTCCGAGTCAACAAACCGAGTGCCGAGTGCCGAGTGCCGAGTTTCCGTCAGCCACAGCCACAACTGCTTCTCAGAATCTACAATCGCGTATGGCGTAAATATTATAATAAGAAGAACCCTTTATTTGTATCTTTCGACCTTCTTCGGAGAGAACAAAAATATTGTCGTTGTAGAAAATATTAAAAAATGGATGCTTTTGTTTATGTTTCTATTATTTAGCGAAAAAACAAGTTAGAGATAGAAGAAATGTTAAAATCAAGCTATTTCTCGACTCGCTTTATAACGGTAAATCGGTTGGTTAATAATACCCGACAATTTAAGCATTTATTCGTAAGACAATGTCACCAAGAAGATATGTGTACTGTTCCTCGAGACGGTTCCGTGAGCTCGTGTCCGGTGTCGTCCGGTGTCGTCCGGTCTCGTCCGGTCTCGAGTCGGTGCCCATTCTCTTCTTCCTTTTCTTTCCTCTCGAAAGCCATCTCGCTCTTCCTAACTAATTATAAGTAAGTTCTAACCAGAACGATTCACGCTCGGACGATCCTCCAATTTTATTCATCTTTCTTTTATCGCATTACGCTAAGAAAATCAATAAACACAGATGTATTCGCGTATATTTAACTCTTTTAATTAATCTTTTGTGAAACGAGCTCTTACAAGCTTTTATTCATCTCGTTCGCGTATCACGTTCGCTTATACTCTTAAAGATTGCAGATTAAAAATCTCGGACAATTTGATTAATGATCGTGGTAACTGTTTGAAAATAATTTATTACTCTACGTGTTATTTTTTATTAATTCTTTTCTTTTTTTAATTTTTTCAATTTTTTCTGCATTCATGATCTTTCCTTTTTCGAGGCGTCCTTGTAATCTTATACGAAACCATATACCAAGTTGATCTCTCTTAAGAAACATTTCTCTCTTTTTCTCTTTTCTTCAAGAATTTTAATCAGCCGAGAAATGTATTAGCGCTATCATTCGTAAAAGCAGCTTAGAATTAGTCACGATAGCATTAGATTGACCCGGTTTCTTAACGAGCCGCCAAACAAGTAGCAGCAGAATGTACCTACGGAGGACGTTTACACCTTACGAAAGGTTGTTCAAGAAGAGTGTGCGTGCATGTAGTATGTTTTCCCAAGTGAGACATGGCGATAGATAAAATGAACAAACTGCAAACCATAATTATCAATATATATGCAATAAGTGAAGCTTCATACGTTAACAGATTATAATAGCACGTAACTTTGAAGCTATTGTAGAAAAATACTTGCCGTTCACTGACACGTTTCAATTCAACAAATGACCAAGTATACATATAGACAAGATAACAAGGTAACAAGATAATAATCTAGATATTTCAATAAAGTAAGAACAAGGTCAAGATAAACATATGTAGAATAAATGAAAGAGGAAATGACAATCAGAATAAAGACAAAGCTAATTGAAGTGACATTAATTTTCGAATAAGAAAGTAAATAGACTTTAAACGATATTCAATGCATCAAATCGTGACTCACGAATTCTCGTTCTCGCTGATGTAGAACGCTCTAAGTATTGCTTGATTTATTCTAGTAGTAGTCTCCTCTCTCTTTTTCACGAGAAACTTTAGTGATTATCGATTGAAACTTTGAAGAAAATTAGTGARAGAAAGAAAGGCCTTTTTTTCTTTTGGAGATAGAGAAAACATTAACTGCGACGTTGTCACGAGGCCAATAACGCATTCGAAGGAAGAATTCACGGGCCAATTATCTTAGCGCAGGTGCAACAGCAGCAGCTAACAGCAGGCCAACGATACGAAAAGTGAAAACACACGCTAAGAGAGGCTAATATAGTAAATAGAAGTAAGCCTTCTCTCCTCTTATTCCCCCTGACTACTCCACCTTAAACTTAACGAGGATCCAGCGATAAGTAGGGAGTACTTTCTACCTACCCTTGAAACGGCTAAACAATTGACAACTATCCTGAATAGGTCCTATCTAAACCATAAGCATATATTCTAATAGCGATTTCGACACAAGTCTGTCCCAGTTAGGCGAGTTGTTTCGGTGAATCGACTCGGCGGCCGGCCCGGTTCTCACACGGTTCAATCTTCCGTAGGTTCTACGTAGGTTCTATCAAGAAAACAAGGAACACGATTATTCTGTTGGCACAGAATAGTCCAACACGCCCGTGGTAGCGCACGTTTTAACCTTTTTTCTGACATTTCGAACCTGTTGGTTGGGTTGCTGATCCTAAAGGTTATCCTAAGCGCCGGAGAAGGAAAGGATAAAGAAGAAGAAGAAGAAGAAGAGAAAGAGGAAAATAATCGTTTGGTAAAGATCTTCCTGTCGAAGGGCGAAATAAGTAAAAGGGATCGTTCGTCGAACCGTATCACGGAGGTCAGAGTGCGTGTCGGAGGAAACACGACGACCACAACTTGGCTTTTACCAAAGTCAAGTAGTAATAGTAGTAGTCACCCAATCAGAGCGAGAAGAAGACAAAAGAAAGGTGAAAAGATTTATCGCGTCGTGAGATCAAGTCTACATCCTGTCTACTCTATGTACCACAAATTTACCGACATTGTCATTAGTATTGCTCGATCGACACGGGAAAAATCATGCGTCGATGATCAAATAGGCTCCTTTCTATTTATAAGACGCTTTTTAACGCGCAATTTCGTGAGAAACTATTCACGCTCTAACCTCTGACCTTTTAAAAAGATATCATGCAGGTTAATCGAGATTTGTAGTCAAATTATTGTTCGGTAAGGTGTTTCTGTCAATAAATTGTTGTTAGAGTATTTGCAAGTAAATGTAATCGAATATTGAAAATTCTTTGAAATCACAGGTTTAACGTGTGTTAGCAAAGAAAGGAACGAAACACAAAGCCATTTAAATCCATCCGTGTCCGGTGTGTAATTCAGAGAAAGTCACACGCTCGTAAATCAGACTGGTAATGGGTGCCGTTAGATTTGCAATGATAATCTTATGGTAATGCATGCGATTCGGTCGACCGAACGTAAAGAGGAAAATAATTAACGATCCCGCGTAATCCGAGTTTTGCGGATGGATGAGGAAAGATTCTCGGAGAAATCTTTCTAAATCCAAATAAGAAAATTGGAATCTGTATCTAGGAACTTTGAAAAAAATCGTCGGAAGAAATCTGAAATAAGAAGAAATCATTTCAATGATATTTTATTGCTTATATTATATAATAGTTGAAAAGGAAGAAAAAAAAGAAAAACAGAAAAACAGAAAAAGTTCATTTCAGACTCGCTCTCGAAATCATTAAATAAAGTACGATCGATGTTGTAGATATCGTCGTAATTTGCATATACGTAATTGAAAGTAAATGCGAGTCAGCATCGTTGCAGTTCATTCCATACGATCCTAAGATCGAAAGCATTTCTAATTAATCTGTAATTCATCGTTGATTGATGTGCTTAAAGCTATTACTCGCCTTTGAAGGATTTGCAAAGTTTCGCAGATCGTTAATAAATCGCAAAGAGGATCTTTCATTTAATTGATCGATCACTAGATCACTAGACAAGACATTCCAGATTTAGACACTTGCTCGCAATTCAATTAATGCACTTGCAAGTGCATGCTATTTAACATTTATAATATTTACAAGATAAGTACAAGGTAATTACTTGTTACTACTTACCCTTGAATAGCATGAGGTGGAGCAGGTCTTGGAGGTGGAGGTAAGGACTTCCTACCAGGAGTATTCTGTCTCGGCGCCAAAGGTGGTGGTGGTGGTGGTGGAGAACTAGGTGAAGAAGTACTGTACCGATCCGTGGGACACTGAGGCTGTGGTTTTTGTTTCGGTGCATCGACATATTTCGGTGGTAGAGCGTAATAATTCCTTTGCGGCGTGTCACTGTGACGAGAATAATGATTAGACATGTACTTCGGTGGTTCGTGATATTTTTGAGGAGTTCCTTCGGGTGAATATAATTTTGAACCCAATTCGTATCCCATGTTTACAGGACTACCGAGAGAAAAGCTATGATTTTTCGAATTCTCCGGGGGCACAGCTAAATAATTCGTCGGTCTTGACTGATTTGTGGTGCTTGAATTTTTATCAGTACTTTTGGGTACTTGAGGCTGCGGCCTTTGCCCTGACGAGGATTCCAATCTCTGGCCAGAATCGTTTCGCAATAATCCAGATGCATCAATCCTGGTACTTTCTACTCTCATTGATTCTTGTCGAATGATTCGCGGTTCAACAGGAACTTGAGGAGCTGGTCTTTGATTTCCAGAATCGCTGTATCGTTGAGATATGAGATCGGGTAATTGCGCAGGTGGTCTGGCTTGGAACGGTCTTTCTTCCGAGATTCTTCTTGTACTTGCTATTCTTCCATTAACCATAAGTTTTTGAGTCGACGGATATCTTAAACTGGAACGGCCAGTATTCATCATTCTGTGAGTAGCAAAACCCGGTGAAATACCATTTTCATGAACTATTTCGGAATCGACGTGTTTTAGTGTTGTCGAAGTTCTTACAAATTGATGTTGATCTTGTTCTTGGGAAGATATTTTCGTTGTTGGAGAGTTTGGAGAAGATTTGCCTGAAGTTTTATCGAGATCTCGTTTGCTGCTGCTGCTGCTGCTGCTGCTGCCGCTGTGTTTCGATCTTCTCATGGAATGTCTTTCGGATTTGTGTCGTTCGCAAGATCTTTCACGATGTATCTTTCCTTCCTCGAGTTGATGATGAGTGGAACTAGATTTTCGTGGGCTATCAGGATAACAATCTTCGCTGAGTTCAGGCGGCGGAGGTGGCAAAGGATCGTCACATTCGTGGACTTCGTTTTCTGTTACCGTTGGTGGCGAGGGTGGCGGCAAATCGGGACTAGGAACACGGTCGTTGTAAACGCTCCTAAGATGGGGCTTCTTGGGTGGTCTTTCTGGGACCCAATCGTCGATGGATATAGCAGGTCCAACGATAACTGGACCCAATAAATCAGTAGAAAGGCTACCGCAACTGTTGCTATGCTGATGCTTAGGACTCGGTAGGTCAGAATTTTGATTTAGCCCTCTAGCAGAATTTTCTCTCCACGTGCCACTCGCATAATCGGACGCAGAACTGGCTCGTCTCGACGAAGGTGGTCTTGGTCGTGGCGGAGGTTGGGGTGGAGGACTTTGCGGAGAGGATCCTGAGCCTTGGGCTAATTGCGGTTCCGATCTCCAAGAACCTTGGTGGTGTCTTTCATAAAAAGATAGCAGTGCTTTCTTTTGAATAGCCTTCAAAGTCGGATCAGAAACTCTGTGTCGTTTCTCAGGATCGAGATACGTGTAACGCATTAATTGTTGCTGTTGTTGTTGCTGTTGCTGTTGTTGTTGTTGTTGTTGCTTCTCCAATTCGCTAATTCGTTCGGCTACCGACAATGGGGATTGCTGCGGTGACGTGGGTGCCATTCTAAAAATAACATTCAAAGATAAATGCTTGCTTCTATATATCTTTCATCAACGATATTAAAAAGCACTTAATATTAATACCTAGAGGAGGACTGTGGTGATTCCTGAGGCTGTGTAGTACTAATAGGATACAATTTCCGTTGATTACGTTCGCGATCCAAGTACAACACACTCTCCGAAAGATGTCGTTGCGGTGTCTGCACTCTGGCGCTGTAGGCAATTAACTGCTTGTTGCACTGTACGCCATTCGTTTGACTTACATCAGACATTGAACCATGAATAATATCCCAACCATCGGGACTTAGTGGACTCGTAGATACAACTTGTTGTCTAGTCGGACTTTGCGGCATTGGTTGAGAAACCGATCTATATTTATCATTGTCCAATGAAATCGAACCATCCCAAGTATGGTTACTTTGCGATCTATCAAGAGAATCATCATCGATACTAGACTCCTGCCAATTGTTTTCTCGAACAGTAGATGATTGACAAATATCTCCAACAGAAGTAGAAGACACGCAGTGTCCAATAACTGCCGGTAAACTTGCTCGAGTTTGGGCTTGTTTATTCCGATCGTTCATTGAAGCCTGCCATTTGTCCGGCCACTTTTCGCTATGCCTTCCTTTAGACGTTGGCGACAAACCGCTAGTACTGACGTCGCTCATAGAATCTTGCCACTTATCGTGGCAAACGTTATTCGACTTCTGAGTCATAATCCCACCATTGACGCTACTTACATCGGACATCGAGCCATGATGCCACCTATCCGATGTACTTTGTCTCGCTGGTAATCCGCTAGAAACGCTTACGTCTGACATCGAACCATGCCATTTTAACGTTTCACTGCTAGATGCGCTGCCGCTCGATGTTGTCACCACACTGTCTCGGCCCTCTCGAGACGTCTCTTCCCAAGAAGGTGTTGATCTCTGTGCAACAGCTTCGCTGTCTCTTCGAAGTCTATTCAAAATGACAAATTCATTGAAACACATAAATAGATTATGGTACTATAAATAATGACACATTGAAGTTACCTGTCGAGGAATGGTGTGTTGGTAGTGGAATCAACGCTGGAAACGTAACTGTGATAACCCTCGGATTGTGCGTAGCTGGCTTGTTGAGAATGTTGGACCCTCGTGTATTCTTCCAAACCTGCTTGCGTCAATGCTGTTTCTCTGTACAAATCCACCTACACCAAAAAATTCGTTAACAGAGTTTGCTCAAAAGTTCCTCTACTTTTAATAATATTACCAATTAATGGGGAATTATTAAATTACCTGCGATACTTGAGGATCTTGATAACTTCTAACATAGGCTTCAAGATCAGCATGACTAAGAGTTTGAGCCGACTGTTGTTCTCTTTCCGGTGGTGACGGAACCACGTATTCAGCGTCTCCCAATGCCTTGCCCTCGCGATCTACGCGAGGCCACAAACGTGGCTCATCCTCGACGCTTTTTCTGTTACGTGACTCGAAAGTCTCGGCTGGTATTTTCTCGCAACGTTCCATCACCGTTTTCAACTGTAAAATAAGCCCTCGTGTTAACTTTCAAGCTTATATCACTTGATTTAATTTCATTTCTTAACACGATATCTCTTAGTCATCCTACTAGATCAGGATCCTACATTTCACATGCATCGGTATAATAGCAAATAGAAACACCAAACCCAACACCAACAACCATCTAATTGCAGATACACGCGAGCAAACAGAGACCATTAAATCCCAAAGTGTGGATTCACTTTTAACCAATGACGGTGTTTCCTAGCATTTGATTACGTCATTGAGAGAAAGGAGACTGTGCGTCTAGAAAGATTTTATCGAGCCCGCCGCGATGCAGGTAAAATTGACGAAAGTTTTGCGATATTAAGACTCAATATATTACGTATGAAAACTTTGATATGTTTTAACATTAAAACAGCAATCATATGGATTCGATATTATTTCTTTTCGCGAAGACTCGACAACGGTTTGAGGCCAACTGACGTGGCGGCGTCGACGGCAACGAGAGTGTTTCGTATGTCATTACAGAGAAAAGAAGAGAAATAATTCCACTCTGATATAAAAACACAGCGCTGATTATTTAAGCAAAATTTCATAATCAAAGTATCATCTTGAATAAACGTGACGTTTATCGATAAGAATTTGTCAATATAATTGTCGATCACAACCTCGAGATTATTAAACAGTACGTACTATTTGTCGTCTGATGATTTATGCAAATAAGCGACAGCTTGTGTATAATTGCATTGAAAGATAATAAAACACGTGTTAAATATCTGCATGCATGTTCCTTGAAGAATTCACCTGCTGAGTGAAGGCCGGATTAGGTCTCTTCGTATGTGGTCTGGTATACTGAGCAGGTTTCTCTTTCGGATAATTGGTATGATCGGTCCAGGATTTAGAACGGTGCGATCCACTGTGACTCAAATTGTGGATTTCTTCATCTGGATGTCGTTCGGGTGCGCTTGGCCAGGATGGATATTTTTCGTGTCCTGGTCCGTAGCAGACACCTTTGAGACTGGATGCGTCTCTGACTGGTGGTGTTGGTGGTGGCGAGGCTTCCTCCCTCTCGTTGAGTGCAAGAGTGAAACTCTCGAATCCAAGTGTCTCGCTGTACCTAACAGAACCCAAGAATTGTTGTTGTCGTTTTTGTTATATTACTTGTATAAATGAATAATAAAAAAAAAAAATAATAAAAAAAAAAAAAAATATAAAAATTAATGAATACTATCGAGTTTGCAGTAGAACGAGTTGTAATCATCAACGTCATTGATGAATCGTTTGTTAAAGGTATACAGGCAAAAGGTATAATTGATAAATTTCATATAATTTATTCCGGAATATCGATTAGGCCTTTGTGCGAAAAGCAATCAATTATAAAGAGAACATAAACACTACAATAAGACGACAATCGTAGCGCGCGCATCGTTCTGCGTGGGAACAAGAACGAATGAATACGACGGAGACTTGTTATTAGCGTTTAACGCGATGAATCACTTACGATACGTGGTAATCCCGACATCGAAGTCAGCGAGCAAGCGAACGCGTTCTTATACGGTGTCATTGAACCACTTTATTACCAGGATATGTGCACGCCGCATAATTTATGGAATAGTCAATAAGTTCGATGTAACTGGAAGCGCAGCAACCAGCAGGATGGACGAACGTATAGACGGACGGACGGACGAACGAATAGACGGACGGACGAATAGACGGACGACCATACGAACCGACCTACAATTATCTCGGATTTCTTTTCTTTCCTTCTCCAGTTTCAATGTTATTAATACTGGAATAACGACCCTAACTAGTGAAATTAACATAAGACAAATTGCATCCTACCGTGATGATTCGTAGATTATGCAAGTAAACGATGAAAATTAGCAAGATGAAAAAGATATAAGAAATCATGTTTCGTTGTACTCGATTTTTCCATTGATCAGTATTAGACTTGAGCAATTTTCAATCTTTTGAATAACTTTTATTTGATTAAAATTACCCGCTGTCGTTCTTATAGCCCGGAGTATTCTTCTTGTTACTCTCGTTGTAACCGGCAATCGGGGTCTTTTTGCTTGCAATGTTGTTAGTGCCTTCGTGTTCGTTATCCGTTGACCTCCTGCCGTCGTTTCTACGCCGATAGTATTGGTTAGACGGCACCGTCCTGGACGGACTCTTCTTATGGCCATAGCCTTCCTGAGTATACGACGTGGCAGCACCCTTGAAATTGTTAGTCTCGGTGTCGTGCCCGTGACTCGTATACTTGTAGGTCCCCGAGAGACAGGAAGGTGGACCTGGGGCCTCATCCTGTACACGATATCCCGGCGGCGACGGTTGCAATTCCGTCATCGTGTAATCGACGTCCCCGCCATCCGGGATACACCTACGACACAGATTACATAGCAAATATATTAATCAAATTCACAAGTGTTCTAAGGAAGATCGATAAATCCAGATAAATTGTAGCTTCTTGCATAGTGCAAATATTTGTCAACAAAACAAAGTTGAATTACAAAGTGATGAATTTAACAGGCAACTTATATATCAGGTATGAAATTTTCTTGGAAATCTCGAAACAGTTTGGGTGCGAACATGGTTCGCGCGTACAGGTAGTATGTACATACCATAAGAATCAATTTGTTCGCGGCTTGAATTACATTATCTACCGGTAAGCGTGAGCTTGTAGAACTGGATGGAAGGCGTGTCGGTTGAGACGATAAAGTCCATGGAAACTTCATAGGACTGGTTACTTAACCTTTAAGAGAAAGAAAGAGAGAGTCAAAGTACAGCGCCATGGTAAGAGGAGAAAGAGGAGAAAGAGGAGAAAGAGGTGGAGGAGAAGTAATAATCGGCGTTAATGACGGCATTAGCATGATCGACGAAGTCGATACATTGTTCTCTTCGGGAGTTCGGGGACTATGCTCAGAGGTGTGTTGAGAAGTAAGAACGTGCTTGATCTCGTATGCCACGCCTTCGTTACTACCGATTGAGCCAACTTCCACTACCTCGATCTTCCATTTCGGTGATGTTTTACATATTGTCTGTCATGGTAGCTATACGCAATCATTACGCCTGTTCTTTCTTTTTTTCTTTTTTCTTTTTTCTTTTTTCTTTTTTCTTTTTTCTTTTCAGAAGCCATTGTATTCATCGGTGATCGCAATCACTACATTCGTACAGTTCACTACTGTCAATTAAATGTCATCGCGAATAGAAAATTTGTATCAATGCAAATAATTGGATAATACGACTTGCCAAAGGGTGAATTTCAATTGTAAATAGTTGAAATTGATTTGTGAAAGGATTAATTTGGCCAACCTGCATAACAAATATTTTGTTTCTATGTTGAGAAGTTGAGTTTTACGTTCGCACTCGATGACTCGTCGTCGTCAAGAGGATAAGAAACGATATTAAAACGTTACTTGTATAAGACGATACGAAATCTTCTGACGTATAATGTCATCGATCTTGATTCTCTCTCGGGAATAACGACGACGATTGTATTCGAAGATTCGGGATGTGCTTGGTTAGCGGGGCTATCGGTGAAAAAAGAATCTGGGACAATCTTTTCGTTCGTATCACGATACGTACGATCCATTTCGATGATTTATCGGCAATTGTTCGTTCGAAATGCGTCCGTCACCGTGTTCCTTGTACACGACGACGTACGATCGTCCTAAATTTTTCCTCACTCACTCGGATGAAATCGAATTACGATCGTATTTATGTCGAACCGATCTTTCATTTTCTTAATTTTTTATTATACCGAGTTGAGAAATATTCGTTGATTCATTCGCGTGTTGTTAACACGCGTGTCAGTGACATGCAACTTTTCTACGTAGTTATTGTGTATTAAATAGTGTGTTATATTAATAATAGCAATATTAAAATAGGAAATGAAAAAAGGGAGACTTTTTTTAGACGAGGTTAATAGCCAAGAGAGCAACTTTAGCAAACATGAAATACGTAAATTCCTAGGACTTACTTACTTCGTATTACAGGAGCAACATTGCTATTAAAATATCATACAGGGGAGGAAGTTCCTACGCATTTCATTTTACGAATAAACGAAGAAAATAATAAAATATTAGGTTTTAATGTAACGATCAAATATTTATAAGAAAAAGCAAGAGGAAAGATAGTAAGAACGAGTGGAGGCGTTTCTCGTCAAGGTTTAAAAGACGTTAGGTTTTAACACGTTTCGTGCTAAGCCGTTTTTGAACAAGTGTCATTAGCAGAACACGTGTTCCGATAACGGTACTTCCTACAACCTTTACTGAATTTACAAAAATCACATATTTTTTCAAATCTTCTTTTTACGAGCTATTCATTTATTCGATGTTATTGTGATATGCAAATCATTATTTTCTTCTATTTTATTTATCATTAAAAACTTCATTTAAATTTAATTAAATTATATTTAAATGACATTTTTCAATCTCTCTATGCCATTAGATTTCGCAAAGGTTTGCTAGTTCTGTAGTACTAGTTCTGCAATTATCTGGTAACACGTGGCACCGAACGTGTAAGATTTTAGCCTTAAGAAAGATACACTTCACGATCCATGTCGTTAATAGAAAATTTCAGTAAACGAACTGGGTAATAAATTGAATGTAAAGTCGAGATCAGAGCGCATTAGGAATTCTCGATAGCGGTCTACATTAAATTGGATTTGTCGTTGTGGGCGTGCCGGCCGGCCGGCCGGCCGGCGTTGCTAGTTTTGCATAATAAGAGTTGGTTTAAGTAAAATAAAGCTATGATCATCCAAGAGTTTTAAATGAGTTTTGTTTTTTTTTTTTTAGGAGGGATTTTGAAGGTACATATTTAAAAATTGGGAAAAAGTTAGTGGGCAAGCCAATATCTACGTGCATCCACGGTACGAGAGGATAAGATAAGAGTTGTCGTTTCTCGTCGTTTCTCGTCGTTTCTCGTCGTTTCTCGTCGTTCTCTGAATAAATTTAGCGGGACATTTATCTCTTAGAGTACTCTTGGACCAAGATAAAATACGATCTCGATTACGTTCGTGTCCTCCTCCGTGTATGGACTTAATAAAGTCAGGACCAAACGCAAGCCGCTCGCGTTTCAGTTCACGTACATAACTATAAGTATAGTTACGTATGTATATACATATGTATATACCTACATTGTATAGTAATACACCAAGGTAGACGTATGTACAAACAGGGTGTCCCAAGGTTTACTTCCCAAACTGCACGAACATGCTCACGTAGAATACGTTTTCGCAATTTGCTTGGTAAGCCCTGGGACACCTTGTATATACGCATAAACGAACGTTGAATCTTACGTTGCACATGAGTTTCTCCGAAAATCTGACGTCATCGTTAGAATGTAAGCACGAGTGTATATATATATATATATATCTATATAAAATGCAATAAGGAAAAGGACTCATTATATAAAACTTTGTAGGACTTATGACAAATTTTTCGAGCTTGGAATGGCGTATGTTTTCTCGACTATTCTAAGAATAATATTAAGAGAATGCTTGAATGTTAGGTGCTATGAAAGTGGTGCAACTAGCATACCAGCAAGCTGTTATGCGAAAGAATTTCTTTTTACCGACCCCAGAAGGTTCTCACGTTTCTATGAAATCGCGCGTTTAGAAGTGACTCGTGCATTAAAGGCAGTTTATTCGTGCCCCTAAATCACACCCTTTAATTGCCACTTGTCGTGAGCTTTCTTCTCTCGCAATCCAGTTAACGTGAACGTTTAAAAGATCCTTACTATTGAGGATACATTCAATTCTATAATCTTACGACTCGAATTGCCCACCAAAGATGTTCTCTCTTAATCAGAATATCAAGGTTACATCATATTTTTAATGAAAATTTGTAAGAACGTTAACGAGTTTATAACGTTTTTTTTTTTTTTCAAGCGAACTATAGCAGAGGCACATTTTTCTTCGGTTTTAAGAGACAGGAGAATTAATCGAGCACACTGGTGGAGCTCGATTAATGCACACGAATGCATTTGCTAAAGGACAATACCTACGTTGCAAACATGTAAGTCGTGCACCGACGACGATCCACTTCGTTAATGTTCTCCATGCTTGGTGCCGCTTCCTAAAGAATTACATGAGCCAACTGCGAAAGCTGCTGGAGGGGAAGAAGAACGAGGGAGTATCTAAAGAAAAGAACCACGCCCTTATCCGTGATCCACAGAGGCAAATAAGAGGATAAAGAGAAGGAGAAAGAATTGCAGATATACAAGGCGTTTCATAAATACGTGAAATAAATCTACACGTTGAATTCGACGCTTATTTGAAATTTATTCACAACGAGATTGTATTTTTCTAGTCATCCTGATTTCGTACACTGAAGTCAGACATTTTTCAATCGTATGACAAGGAATCACATTTACCCACATATAAAGTATCGGCATACATTTATGAAGCACTCTGTATATAAACAGAGCTCTCTCTCTCTCTCTCTCTCTCCTACTTTTTCTCTTACGTCACTTAATTAATGCGCGTCGAGTTCGTTGACTGTGGTAGCTCAGTGTGTACGCGTAATTCCGGGGAAGGATCGTGTGCTATATGAAGCGAGAGAGGACCAAGCCACGTAAATGTCTTTCCTGTTACTTGCGGAATCTCCATCCAAATATACGTTAATATGTGTATAATTATATACCGGGTGAATCTCTGAATACTGCCAGCATTTGCTTCCTAATAACTGTATTAACCTTTTAATTAAAGAGATATTTGATAAGTTAAAATCCTTTAGCTTGTCAATTAAAAGTATTTTCGATCGGTTAAAGGGTGGACAAATTTGATATCATAACAAAATGAGATTATCAATTTGAGATTATCAATCATTTTGTATGGAAATATGAAATTTGTATTGAGAATAAAGTAGTATGAATGATGAGAGGAAGCTTTGCACGAGTTAATGATTTGTAAAAAGATGAATCATGGAGTATAATGTCGTTTTAACGTTAGACGTGAGAAACAAATGATTTATTTATTCCGGTATTACGAAAGAAATCAAATCTTTAAACGAGTTTAGTCATCTTCTTTGATTAAAGGGTTATGGTAACAGTTTAAGTTAAATGCAAATTGATATTGCTATTGCTATTAATATTAAAGTATTAACTTAAAGCATTTTTAATTGGGTTTCATCTATAGTAGTATAAGTGTAATTTTTTGTTTGTTAAATTGAATATATTTTGTGCATAGTACGTTGGCAAGACTGATGTGTTGCCTGCCTGGTGCTGAATAAAGCGTTGGCGTTTAGCGTTGGAGTCATGCTCGAAAGAATAAGTTTTGCGTGGGTCTTTGGTTGTCACTCGCGATCTCACTCGCGTATGTATATAATTCGTCGTCTGAACGGTAGCCATCACGATGACACGAAAATGCATCGAGAGAAT